CAAATCCTCCCCTATAATAGTATTATTTGACCCAGTGTACAAATCTTCACTAAATTGTTTAGACTGGGCCTTGAACTTGCAATCCTCCTGCTTCAGCCTCCTAAGTCACTGAGATTATAGGTATACACCACTGTGCCTAAAGTGTTTGTTTATTCATTTTTTGTGGTACAGGAAACTGAACCCAAGGGCATTCTACCACTGAGCCACATCCTAAGCTAATTTCATTTTGAGACAGAGTCTTGCTAAGTTACCCATGCTAGCCTGTATCTTATGATCCTCCTGCCTTAGCCTCTCAAGTATAGGACCACAGGCAAGTGCCACACTGCCCAGCTGACTTTAATTTAAATGGAGCATTTCTTCGAAAGGTTACCTGCAGACATATATGTCCAAGCCACTGACTGCATGTCCAAAAATGCCTATATATTTGAATACAAATTTTAGCTTGATGAATTCTTCAACTTCTGTCCTTTAGGTCAATAATCAGCCTTTTTATATTATTCCAAGTTTCACTGCTGCAGAAAACCAGTTTTCTTTGTAAACATCTTAAACAGAATTTAAACTTCTTTTTTGGGGGGGAGGGGCGGGGGGTTGTACTAGGGATTGAACCCAATGGCACTGTACCACTAAGCTACATGCCTAGCCCTTTTTAAAAATTTTAAGATGGTATATCACTAAGTTTCTGAGGCTAGCCTCAAACTTGCAATCTTACTGCCCAAGCCTCCTGACTCACTAAGATCATAGGCATGTGCTACCATGCCTGGTGACAGCTAAGATGTTTTAACACTTAAAGAACAATTTTATCTCTATTAATGTTTCCTGAAAGCCAGCAAAACCTTTCAATTTACAAACTCAAGTCTTTACTAAATTACTTCTTCAGCTGTTTTTTCCCTACAAAAGTGGCTTTACTGACATACTGGTTTCCAACAGTGTCCTTTTATTCACTATAAAATTTCAAAACATAGCTTCAGCTCTTAAGAATTCTCGGGGGGATATAGCTCAGTTGGTACAGTGCTTGCCTCAAATGCACAAGGGTTCAATCCCCAGCACAGACCCCCTCCCCCCCAAAAAAAACTCATTTGGGGCTGGGAATGTGGCTCAAGCAGTAGCGTGCTCACCTGGCATGCGCGGGGCACTGGGTTCAATCCTCAACACCACATAAAAATTTTAAAAATAGGGGGCTGGGGATGTGGCTCAAGCGGTAGCGCGCTCGCCTGGCATGCGTGCAGCCCGGGTTCGATCCTCAGCACCACATACCAACAAAGATGTTGTGTCTGCCGAGAACTTAAAAAAAAAAAAAAAAAGATATTGTGTCCATCTAAAACTAAAAAATAAATATTAAAAAAATGTAATCCTGGGCTGGGGATGTGGCTCAAGCGGTAGTGCGCTCGCCTGGCATGTGTGCAGCCCGGGTTCAATCCTCAGCACCACATACAAACAAAGATGTTGTGTCCGCCGAAAAAACTAAAAAAATAAATATTAAAAAATTCTCTTTTAAAAAAAATGTAATCCTATCTACTAGGGAGGCTGAAGTAGGATGATCACATGGTCAAGGTTAGCCTGGGCAATTCAGGTGAGATCCTGTCTCGAAAAAAAAAAAAAAGGCTACGGGTGTACTCACTAGTAAAACCCCCAGGGTACCATCCCCAGTACCCCCCACCAAAAAAAAAATAATTCTCCTTAAAATTTGAATAGAATTCCCTTCTGATTCTTTCATTAATTTGCCTTTATAGGCATCATGTTATTCTCTAGGACTCTACTTTGAACTATTGTGACTTTTTTAGTTACACACACACACACACTTTTTTTGGGGGGGAGGGGATCAGGGATTGAATCCCAGGGTGCATAACCACGGAGCCACATCCCCCTTTTTATTTTTTAGTTTCAAACAGTGTTTCTGAGGCTGGCCTCAACCTCATGATCCTCCTGCCTCAACCTCCCAAGTCACTAGGATTGTAGGCATGCACCACCGTGCTCAGTTTTTTATTTTAATTTTGGGCAGTGTAAAATAACAGTTGGAAAAAAAAAAAAACTATGGATGCTGAGACCAGGCTGCCTTATTAGCTTTTATGACTATGGATGGGCAAGCTATTTAATCAGAGTCTGTTTCCTAATCTGAAAAATGAGCAATAATAAAAGTACTAAGGTAGAGCACCTGGCACATAATAAGTACTACTGTCTATCTTGGTGTTTATTAAACATTTGTAGAAGTTAAAAGTTATAGAGTAAGGTACAGGTAAAAGTCATAGGTATTAAATCTGTAGGAATGAAAAAATACCATAGACAAATCCTAGTCAGGCCTGGCATGGTGACCCACATTTGTAACCCCAGCTACTTGAGAGGCTTAGGCAGGAAGATGTCAGGTTCAAGGTCAGTCTGGGCAACTTTGTGAAAAATAAAATCTGAAAAGGGTGGGGATGTAGTTCAGTGGTAGAGTACTTGTGTAGCACATACAAAGGCCTTGAGTAGAATCCCCAATACTGCAGGGGGAAAAAAAATCTTAAAGGCTATAACCCTAATTTCCACTGTAATATAACAAAAGGAGATTACGTGAAATGGCTCACCACTCCCACTGTCATTATTATTAGAAGCTCAAGCACATCATAAACACTATCCTAACTTATACAAACATATAAAAAATAAGCAGGGGGGGCTAGGGATATAGCTCAGTTGTTAGAATGCATGCCTCCCACACACAAGGCACTGGGTTCAATGCACAGCATTTCTCTCTCTCTCTCTCTCTCTCTCTCACACACACACACACACACACAGCAGGAATTAAAACTCTGCAAACCTGTGCCACTCAATATAGCAGCCTAATTGTGTATAGCTATCTAAATGAATTAAAATTCAGCTGTTTAGCTGCAAGAGCCACATTTCAAGTGCTCAATAGCCACAATTATGTAGGTAATAACTACTTTACTGAACAGAACTGTTGAAAACAACAAGGAAATTACAAAAAAAAAAAAGTTATCAGAACTGAACTTTTAGGCTGTATCAAATACAAAGTACTAATGCACCCATGAAATGGGTGGTCACAAAGGAAATGTCTTAGACAATCCTAATCTTGAGCCAGAGTGAGAAGAACCAGATCCAAAGCCTATGCCTAACCTATGCCACTAGCCACCTACAGGATCTGCCATGTTACTAAATCACATGCAGTTCAGTATAACAGTTAGGAGCACACACTATTCAGACTATGTGGTTTTGAAATCTAGCTCTTACTATCTATGTGACATTGGGCAATACTTCACATCTCCTATTTGTTAGCTTTATTTTACAGTAGTGTCTATGACATAGAGAAATGGAGAATTAGTCAATATTTGTAAAAGCACTTAAAACAAGGCCTGACATTACTAAGTGCTATGTATTTGCTAAATACAATAACCTCTCAATCTTCTATTTCCTCAGTTTCAAAATGGGCAATATAAAATTTGATCTATCTATTTCACAGCTTTTCATGACAGTAAATATGAAAAGTTTATAAATTACTAAGAGTCATAAAGGGATACATGGACCTGAATAAGACTTATTGAAGGAAAAATCAGCAAAAAAATATGTCCCAAAGTGGTTGGAAATTACCTACTTCAATTTGAGTTCTCAAATAGTAATATGACCAGCCTTTTACTGTAATATAACATTTAATCTATTTAACTATTAAATCTCCATTCCCCCCCATACCCTTGAGAAACATAAACAGGCTATAATTTTCAGGAAAGTCACCTATCTTTATTTGTGAGAAAAAAGAAATTTGTTCAAAGTCACATCTAACAAATTACAGACTGATTTGACCCAAATATTCTTTCACAAAACAGAAACAGACCTCAAAAGAGCAAACAATGGGAGTCACATTAAAAATTCTTTGCCACCCTTTCTTTACCTGTTTACAAACATAACCTATAGTCGAAATTTCAAATGTCATTTAATGAAAATGAGTACCTGATTAGGTTCTCAAATGAAATTTGTGAAAAGCAATGCCACCAAGGTACAAGAAAAGATTAGCTAGCACACTCAAAACAGAAATTTGTCTTTTGTTGAAATAAAAGTCAACGTCTATCAGCTATGTAGACCTTCTCCTAAGGCAAATTGGAAGCCAAATTCTCTCTACTTTGAGATTTCCCTGAGGAATGGAGCTGTAAAATCAGGAAAAGCAAAACAAAAGGAAGCAGGGTACCTTTTAGGAGTCATTAAAAAAAAAAAAACAAAAAACCCTGCTGGCTACAGCAATAAATGTTTTCAAAACATTAACCACACCACAACTTTCCCACATCCCACTTTTTGGTTTTGGTGAGGGAGGAGAGCAAGTACATATTATTTAAAGGTAAGAGGAACAGAAACAAAGAATGTTGGGCTCTTAAATTTATTAATCTCAAAGCCCTCCTAGAATAAGAATTCTCAGTACCCTCAAAGATTATCCGATCTGGAGCATGCGACAAAATAAAACTAGGAGGCAGGGATGGTTAAGAAATGGGAGAAGAAATCAGAAAGGTAGAAGCCCGCCTATGGTTGCAGAGTGCAGCCCTAGGAAGCCTCTAGCCCGCCAGCCCGCGGGTCCCTCCGCCCCTCTCTCCAATCCTAGTCTCGGCAGGAACACGCACGCGCAGCGAGTAGGGGCTGCGCGTGCGACGCGCAGGCGTAAAGTGGGTAGAAACAATGAGCTTTGTTGCCGAGGCGGTAGAGGGGGGCAGGGGAGAGGGTAAAACGGGTTGGGGGGAGGGACTGGGGTTGAGGAACGGGAGAAAGTGCTATCCCGGCAACCCCCGCGCGCGACCGAGGACCCGGATAGAAAGCTTCGAGATCCAAATCATAAATGACAATGGGAAAAAAAGCGACGGCCATTTCTCAAAAAAGAAAGAAATGAAGTCGGCCCAATCTAATCCCTCAGACTAGGTGGACATAAAGCAGGGAACAACGAAGGCCATACAGGACTTGGTGGCTAACAACCCGGAGGACCCTTTAGGCCCCTCAGCAGTCGCGGAGGTGGACCACCAGAGGCGACGCACCCTTTTTGCTGCTCCGCCCGAAGGGACCCCTCACCCAGTGCACGGCAGCGGGGACGGCAGCCAACGAATCCTGTCGGCCTCCGCGGATCTCCACAAGCAGCGCCGCTCCCCCGCTCGACGTGCGCTTCGCCCGCCGCCTCCCTTCTCCAGTCCAAACAAACACCCCAGCCCGGAAGTGACTTCACTTCCGCCGCCGGCGGCCCCGCCCTCTCGTTCTGTCAGCGTTGCCCTCCTTAGGCCGCTAGAGAGCGCACCGGAGAACGCGCGCCTGCAAAGGTCTCTTGGTCTCTTGAGCCACTCACGTGTGCGTGTGCAACGGCGAGGGACCGCAGGGTTTTATGAATAGTCCTGTCGCATTCTCTCTGGGAGGCAGGACTGGAGAGAAGACACTGTCCCATACCTGCCCAACCTTCGAGAATGGATACAGAGAGTGGAGGAGCTGGGGACTAAGATACACAGATGTGGACTCTACAGACCTCAAATACATACGAAGAACATCTAGTTAACCCAGCAAACACACCCACCCAGACACACACGCGGAAAGTAATACACAGTGTCACAATGAGTGACATATACCGACGTCACATCGAGATCCTTACACAGAAAAATAATAAAGACACTGACAGAAGAATAGTAACTGATCACAAAGCTGTATGTGCAAACGCACCAACAACTTCTTTTTTGTTTGTTTGTTTTTTTTTTTTTACACCAACAACTTCTAAGTCGGACCTACGCAGACAAAAAATATCAGTAAGTGGTTCCCAGCCTGTGGAGCTGCCTTTGAGTCTGAGAGAGAAAATGCCTAGGGTAGAAGGGTTCAAGAATTTCCTAGTCCACGATCCTTGGTGAATTGGGACCTATGCCTTATTGTTAAGCATGCTTCCTTGCTATCATCGTTGGTAAGCTTCAAGATATATTTCTAGTAAATATATATAAAGAACATAAATGATAAATAAAACATCAATGATAGGTAAAGAGAAGTACCTGTGAAAACAAACAAAAAAATGGATGTTCAGATATGTATACTCCATATTTGAAAGGGGACATACAAACCCTAGTAATTTCTTCCCTCTGGGGAGGGAAAATGAACTAGGGAATGAATACAAAGAATTATATTTTTTACTCTTATAAACTTTGAATATTTCAAAAATCATATGCTTGACTGGGAAAAGTGGCACATACCTGTAATCCCAGCATCTTGGGAGGCTAAAGCAGGAAGATTGAGAGTTCAAAGCCAGCCTCAGCAACTTAATAAGGCCCTGTCTCTAAAATATGAGAAGCCAGGTACAGTGGTATCCACCTATAATCCTAGCAGCTCAGCAGTCTGAAACAAGAAGATTGCGAGTTCAAAACCAGCCTCAGCAACTCAAGGAGACCCAGTCTCTAAAAAGAAAAAATACAAAATACAAAATAGGGCTTGTGGTTGTGGCTCAGTGGTGGAGTGCCCCCAAGTTCAATCCTGGTACCAAAATAAATAAACTAAAAAATCAGATGCTGGTGCCAGGTGCAATAGCACATGCCTATAATCCTAGAGATTTGGGAGGTTGTGACTTAAGGATCACAAATTCCAGGCCACCCTCAGCAATTTAGTAAGGCTTTAAGCAACTTAGCAAGGCTCTTTCTCAAAATAAAAAATAAAAAGGTTGTAGCTCATTGATAAAGTGCCCCTGGGTTTAAACCCAGTACCAAAAAAATTAATAAAATAAAAAATAGAAACGTTTATAATATCCACTTAAATTTAAAAATAAATCTCCAGAGGAAAACTTGAATCCAGAAACAAGTTTATTTCTCCTCAGGGCAATTTTCATTCATTGAAAAATGCTCTGGTCCAGCCCACAGCCTCCCAAAATCAATACAGGTATTATGCTCTAACCCCTGGTTCAACCATTTTGTCCACATTTACAGATCTATATCCTAAACTGGGAATGAAAAGAAAGCTAGGAACTGGGAGAAGGTGAGCAAGAAATGAAAGATGGAGACCAGGCAGAGATAGACAGGAGAGTTTATTTGTCAGAGCTGACAAATAAAGGCACATCTCTCAATAGACCGAGAGAGGCAAAACAGGCTTGAAGTTTAGAACTTTCATGGGGCAGACTCAGGGATTAGAGCTGGGCGAGTCCTAATGCTGGTGGTTAAGGATGAGGTTGGTATGAAGGAGTGATGAGCCTTTGTCAGAAATGCCTTTAGGCAGGAAATTTAAGAGAAATTTTTCTTAAAATGGTGGCTGTCACTTAAGATTGCTGTTCAAATACTAAGCAAGGAACTTACAGGGAGGAAAGGTTTGACTTTGTTGCCTGCTGAGCAAAAGAGATGGTGCTGTTTTGACAGTCTGTGGTATATGATTCATTCAAAGGGGGCTGGTGAGGAATCTGGAAGGTAGGCAATCAATCTGAGACTAGAAGAGGTATAAAGAGAACAAAAATCAAGGTAGATATTTAAATAATTTGTAGTTGACCCAGATACTCTTAGAGGCTAATCATGAGGTTACTGAACTCATTATTTAGTAACACAAACCTTTTAATTTATTATAATGGTAATATTTTAAAAATTTGCTAGGGGCTAGGGATGTGGCTCAAGTGGTAGTGTGCTCACCTAGCATGTGTGAGGCACTGGGTTTGATTCTCAGCACCACATAAAAATAAAGATATTGGGCTGGGGATGTGGCTCAAGCGGTAGCGCACTCACCTGGCATGCTTGCGGCCTGGGTTTGATTCTCAGCACCACAAACAAAACAAAGATGTTGTGTCCGCCAATAACTAAAAAACAAATATTAAAAAAAATAAAAATATATTGTGTCCACCTAAATCTAAAAAATAAATATTAAAAAAAAATTGCTAAACCCTGGTTTAGTTTCAAGTGAACAAGTCAAAGAACTATGCTATTTAAACCCATACAAAGGGAGTTATAATATCAATTCCCTGATCACAGAGCTCACCATCATGATTGAGAAAGTTTGATGGACCCGGTTATCCCTTGGCATCCTCGAGACATGAAGAACCTCTGATGGCTTGCAAGATGGACTTTAATACAGTGATGCTGCCAAGTGTGGTAGTACACACTTGCACTCCCAGCAATTTGGAAGGCCGAAGCAGGAGGATTACAAATTCAAGGCCAGCCTCAGCAAAATTTGGTGAGACCCTAAGCAACTTAGCAAGACCCTGTCTCAAAATTTAAAAAGGGAATGCTGGTGGTGATGATCTACGAATGAAAAACACTGTCAAAAGCTGGGCATGGTGGCTTTCCCCTATAATCCCAGCTACTTGGAGGCTGAGGCAGGAGGATCACAAATTCAGGGACAGCCTGGGCAATTTAGCCAGGCCCTGTCTCAAAACAAAAAGTTGAAGATGGAGATGTAGCTAAGTGCTAAAGAGCTGGCGTAGGAGGCATGTAGCCCTGGGTTCAATCACCAGTACCACACACACAAAGACCAAAGGCTAAGAAGTTCACTAATGATGAGGACAGACACTGCAATCAGACTAGCAGAGATCAAGCTTGAAGATAATGTAGAGCCAGCTGGGTGCAGTAGAGAACCCCTGTATTCCCAGAAGTTTGGGAGGCTGAAACAGGAGGATATTGAGTTCAAAGCCAGCATCAATGATGGTGAGGTGTTAAGCAACTCAGTGAGACCCTGTCTCTAATTTTTTTTTAAATATTTATTTCCTGTCTCTAAATTTAAAAAAATAAATTAAATAGGGCTGGGGAGGTGGTTCGGTGCCCCTGAGTTCAATCCACAGTATCCCCCCGCAAAAAAAAAAAAAAAAAGAATGTAGAATTAACCTGTTTGGTTCATAGAGTAACAATCTTAAGATGGAAGTTTAAAGGCTGGGGCTTAGCTCAGTGGCAGAGTGCTTGCCTAGCCTGTGTGAGGCAATGGGTTCAATCATCAGCACCACATAAAAATAAACAAAGGCATTCTGTCCATTCACAACTACAAAAAAATTTTTTTTTAATGATGGAAGTTTAAGTAGGAATCAGAAGAGTATGGTGATGAGGATCCAAGATGGCTGTGATTAGGCTCATGCTGTACACTAACCACCTTTCTGCAGATCTGTTTATTAATATGTAAGAAGTATTTTCTTCCAGGCGCAGTGGTGCATGCCTGCAATGTCAGTGGCTCAGGAGGCTGAGGCAGGAGGATCACAAGTTCAATGCCAGCTTCAGCAACAGTGAGGTGCTAAGCAACTCAATGAGACACTGTCTCTAAATAAAATATAAAATAAGGCTGGGGATGTGGCTCAGTGGTTGAATACCCCAGAGTTCAATCCCCAGTACCCCCCAAAAAAGTATTTTCTCACCCAAACACTTCACATATAGGAATCTACCTAAAGATACTGGACATGTGTAAAGATTTGTTAGTCAAGCAATGTCATAAATAACCAGAAAACTGAAAAGTCTATCAATAGGGAACTGCTTATATTACTGTGTTAATAGAATCATATAGTTGTTACAAAAATGTATATCCATTGATATACAAGTTTTTTTTATTTTAAAAGGCTGAAAAACAGCATGTATAATTTTCTAATATATGAAAACATGGGCATACATGGGTATAAATGCCAAGTTATCAGAATGGTCACCAAAAATAAGTTATTTTTGGTACTAGGTATCAAATCCAGGATCCTCATACATGCTGGGTCAAGTGTTATAGCACTAAACTATACCTCCAGCCCTCATCAAAATGCTATTAACATATAACCTATCTCTAGGTAGTAATGTTTGGAAGGATCTACTATTTCCTATACTTTTTTTTTTGCGGGGGGGGGGGGGGGTATGGGGAATTGAAGAGTATGGTGATGAGGATCCAAGATGGCTGTGATTAGGCTCATGCTGTACACTAACCACCTGTTTAACCACTGAGCCACAAACCTAGCCCCTTTTCCTTTTTTTTTTAATATATATATTTTATTTAGAGACAGGGTCTCACTGAGTTGCTTAGTGCCTTGCTAAATTGCTGAGGCTGGTTTTGAACTTGCAATCCTCCTGCCTCAGCCTTGGAAGATGCTGGGATTACAGGTGTGTGCGACCTCACCTGGATTCCTATACTTTTTAATATGGTCTAATTTTTTAAAAACTTGCCTGCATTTATAAACAGGAGGAAAAATCCAGACACCAAATAAAAACCAACATATGCTCTTATGGTAACTTAGTAATGAATGGCCTTAGC